CCAGCTACCCAGCTTGCGTCAAAGGCATCTAAAATTTCAAGTTCGGATATATTCTAACGGAAATAGTCAATGGATTAACAAGTAAATATACGTATTTTTTTTTCCTCTCCTTTATTTTTATACCTTTAAATACTCGCCTGTATATTTTCAAACTGAAATAACATGTCCTGGTAAGAGGTTTAATGATAACTTAAGAAATCCCCGGTTCCATAGGAACAATGAAGGGAGGTTTGCTCCTCATTCAGCGAAGGGTGATGGGGTCCTTTCTGAAATGTTTGCGTCTAGCCTCACCCCACCACCATCACCTGTAATAGCAGGACAACAGCCCCCGATGACGTGCATCCCGCAATCCCCGGACCCTGTGAATATGTGACCTCACATGGCAAAATGGACTTCTTCGCAGATGTGATTGAGTAAAGGACCTGGAGATGGGGAGATTATCCTGCATTATCCCAGTGGGTCCAATATAATCACAAGGGTCCCCATAAGTGAAAGAGAGAGACAGGAAGGCCAGAGTCAGAGAAGGCAATGTGTGGGAGGGAGCAGAGTGACAGGACCGCTGGGAGGGGCCGCTAGAAGATCGTGGGCACCTCTAGAAGCTGGAAAAGGTAAGGATCAGATTCTCCCCCAAGACCCTGCAGAAGGAGCACAGCCCTTCGTTTTAGCCCAATGAGACCCATTTTGGACTTCAGACTTCCAGAACTACAAGATAATAAATGTGTGTTGTTTTAAGCCACTAAATTTGTGGTAATCCATTACAACAGTAAATAGGAAACTAATACATCCCCCCCACACACAAAATCCTCACCTCCTCCCCTGCCTGTTTTCAGGGAATGAGCCTTTGTGACTTAACTAGAGATATGAATGGCCCTGTCAAGAAATATTGATAATGCTCTGGTACCGTCCAGTGACAACTCTCCAAAGACATGAATTATCACTCTGCAATTCTATTACAACCTCTGATTTCACAGTAACAAACTGCATGCTCAGTTGATGAGTTAAAACAGTTCTTTCATCTGGGTGGGCTCCGATGCACAAGATAAAAGGAAAGGGTATATCCACCCTCTCTTCTCAAAGAGGACAGAAGTAGGAGGGAAACCCTACAGAGCTGGGTGTAGGTTGGGCCACAGGAAAGCCCCTGAGGACTTCTGGAGATGGAAGGAACCTTTCCATTCACTTGGACTAGTGGAGACTGACTAGCTGGCCCAAGGCTGGGCCACACAGCGTGTGAATGACACAGCACTGAGACTCAGAGCCAGTCATCTTGATGGGGGACCTACTTCCCCTCTCTATCCCAGTGGTTATCAAACCTCCTGTTCTCTGGATTCCTGTCTACTCTTAAATTAATGAGGATCTCGCAGAGGTTATATTTATGTGGGTTTAATCTGTTGTGATCTATTGACCAGAAGTGTAAACTAAGCACACATTCTGCTGCATGCATTAAATCATTTTAAAATAGCAGCAGTAAGCCATTTCATATTGGCATTAAAAAACCTGTATTTTATGAAAAATAACTGTTTTCCAAAACAAAAAGAAATAGAAGAGTGGCATTGTTTTACACTTCAGCACATCTCTTCAATGGGAGACAGCAGGATCTCTTCTCTGCTTACGCCTTCAGTCTATTACAATATGTTGTGGTTGAAGTGCCCGAAGAAAATCCAGCCTCACACAGGTCTGTGGCTGGAAAAGTATCTTAACCGCCTTATGAATCATTTTGGGAAATCTTTGATACTACACCAAAACTCATCAAGTAGCGGTTTCTTCAAGATTAGCCGTGATGTAGAATCTGAAACCATATGAAGAATTTTTCACATTTTGTTACATGAAAAATCCACTGGGCTTTCTTGCACTTTGGCTAGATCGTTTAGCCAGGCAAGATTTGGTAACATTATGCACTGGTCACTGGGAATTCACTGGTTCACTTGGTTATGCAGGTCATCTAAATGCTGACATGTTTTTATACGACAATATTTAAGCCACTGCATTCATTTATCTCACCACCGATATTGTTAGAAAAGTTTTTAAGCATTGGGAAGCTTTCAAATGATGTTGGAGATAACTTGGCAAAATTTCTAATTTTCATTTGAAAGCTCAGACTTTATCACTGGCAAACAGACTATCAGTTATTTTACTAGAAGTGACAGGCCCCCTTGTTCGTCTTGGAGAAGATGTCTGCCAAATACCCAAGTTTGTCTGCGGTCATTCTTTCTGGTAAATATGGTGTGCCATGAAGAAAGAAGCTAGTTCAGTTCACAACTCAAACTATCACACAAGAGGTTTCCTCAGGATTACCAGGATTTTCCTTAGGATTTTTCCTCAGGATTACCACTGAACTTGGGCAGCTCGCAGAAGTACTGTATGTCCCTTTCCTGTTCCTTCACACAGAATATTAAAAAGACATGCCTTCCAGGGTAGAGACTTGGTAAAATTAATAATTTTTGCACCAGGACATTCTTAATTGCAACTGACATATCTTTTCTTCACTTCAGTGACTACTAGTTCATTATGGCGCCAATGCTTCGATTCACCCAAAAGCACCAGCACTTTCACCCACCAAGCTTTCCACCCTTGCTGCAAACAGCAACACAGTAAAAAAAGAAAAAAAAAGGCAAACAGTATCTGGGCATTTCTTTGAAAATAGTTTTGACCTTGCAGAATCCCTGAAAGGATATTAAGTTCCAAAGAAAAAAATGAAAGTCACCCATAACCACCCTAAGATAACTGCTAGAAATGTCTGCGAGTTTGTGTGTCCTCCCATGTTTAGAGATACGTATCCTATCAGACTGGCAAGTGCCACCATAATCTTAACGGTTGCCTAGCAATTTACTGTAGGGAGGGATGATGGAGGTATCACTTGCTTATTTTGATCTATGTCTTAATGGACCACCAAGGTAAAGGGTTTATTTAGATCTTTAGTATGCCCTGCTTATCTCCTCTGTTTTAAGGAAAGTCCCGTGCGCTGTGGTGGCCTGTCATTTAGAGTGGCTCTGGGTGCTTTCATTAGAGGGATTCTGGCCCCCAAAGCTTGGGAGCAGGGGAAGGTTTGACTCAAGCAGCTAGCTGGGCCCATGCATTGATTCAACCAGAGAAGGAGCCGTATGCCCATGGCCTTGCTGCCAGACCCAGAATCCAAGTCCGGAGCAGTGACTGTAGCTACGTAGGGCAGGACAGACGGGAAGCCTTCCAGAGGAGCAGATGAAATAAGTTATGTGCCCCATGATCTCTTTCACAGCACCGAGGAGCTATCTGCAGAATATAGCTGTTGCTTTCCTTCTATTAATTTCATTTAAATGCAGTAAATGTTCATTTCGAAACGTGCTGGTCCATTTCTAGTCTGATCGTCATTTTCCTGCAAATCCCACGTCAACACAGTCGAGAGAAGTGCCAGCAAGCATTCCAGCTCCCACATTCCACAGCTCAGTGGATTTACAGAGCAGAAGGCAAGAGAAGGAATAGCAAGGACCATGGCAGCATTTCGGGAACTGCCACAAAGAGCCCTGACTCCAAGCACACGCAAATGTAACCCACTGGGCAGGTGGCAGGGGAATCCACCAGGAATGAAGCTGGAATCATCACGAAGCCAGTTTAGCATTACCTCCAGTTCCAGCCCATTTTCTGAAACAAAACCCCTTTCAACATTCAGAAAATTTAATCTTGGGGGTGCGGGGGAAGCCATGGGTTGTAGGTGGGGAAGTTGAAAGGTTTTAAAATATGTTTTATTCTTGTTAACTACTACACCAAATATTCAGTGAATGATTTCCTAGAGATTGCTAACAGAGGAAAACAAAATCTCCCACTGGTACTGCCTTTTTTATGAAGAAGTGACTTCTGGCTTCCCACCATGTGGCATCAACCTGATGCAGATGTACCCACCAAAAAGAACTCCAAGGCAACGTGATTCCCCAACTGTCCCTCGTTTCCCCTTTCTAAGAGGGCAGTAGGGACACTAAATAGCATCAGAACGCAAGTAGCCTTCCTTGGAATCACATCTGAATTTTTATAACCCAGCTGGGAGTGAATAGTATCCACAAAAATGTGGACTCTTGGATTCCTACAAACTGATGACATAAGTAAAAGCCACACCGTTTCAAGTGTGAAAATGCCTGCACAGGAGCTGGGACCGAGGGCTACCAAAGGCTTAGGGATGAAAACCCACCACAAACTTTAACTCTCTGCCGGAAACCTTCAAAAAAGTCTGACACCGAAAAGCGCTGCTCACATTTCAGCCCCGAAAGAAAGCATCCATCCCATCGCCAGCCCTCAGTCTCTTCCGGGAAGGGCGAGCTTCTCCCACTTTCCCGCTCCCTCCTCTCAAGACCAAGGTCTTCTCCCAGCTCGTAAGCTCCCACCGGGAGGTTCTGGCCTCCGTCCGAGCGCCGCTGATGCTTGGGCGCCGAGGTACCCGGCCGCCCCCGGGCAGCTCGCAGCTTTCCCCCGGGCGCTTCTAGAAGAGTCTTCCCTCCCTGCCTCCCTGCTGGTCTCCCGAGGGCCACCCTCCAACAGGCATCCCTACCTCCGGGCAGGCGAACTGAAGGAAAGAGGGATGCCCACGGGGATATTCTGGGCAAAGGAAAACATCACCCCCTCCTCCACCGCAACGCCAAAGGGTCGCTTTTCTTTTTTCTTGTTTTGTTTTGTTTTGTTTTTCCTTTGCCTGAATCTCTCCGGGAAGTTAGACTGACTGCTCGAGTCTCCGGACTCCGCGGCGTTCGACGGCAAAGTTGAAACCGAGGGCGCTGAGCTCCCCGGCACCAGTGGTGTCCCGCGCCGGCCTCCCGTGCGCAAGGCGCCGAGTGCCCAGACCCCGCGTCCCCAGCCGCCCCTCCGCGCCCCGACCCGCGAGCGATGAGGACGCACAGGTTAGTGACACGACACGCACAGCACAGAGCGGGACGGCGGTCCCCGGAGCGACAGGCAGGGTGGATGGTGCATGGAAGGTGGACAGAGAAGCGGCGAGGAGGCGCGGAGAGCCGGGCAGCCGAGCCCGGGACTGCGCGTACCTGGAGCCCCCGCCGGGGACACGACGGGCAGCAGCGCGGCCAGGAGCAGCAACGCCGCCCAGGGCAG